TGCTGCAGGTCAATGCGAAGCCGAGGGAGGAAGTGGGCATTGTTTTTAGTTTCTGTTTAGTTTATCTACTCGAGCTGATGAGTTTGAGCTGAACAGTGACATCTCCTTCCTCTGTGTGTGTCTGTGTCTGTGTTCGTCTGTGTGTGTGTTTGTGGATGGTTGAATATCTATGGAAACCCCCTCACCTTTCTGAAGTTGGTCTAGGTGGCGCTGTGTCCAACCATTTCCGTAACTTTGACATTCACACCCACTTCAAGCCGTGACTGGTCAGCGGTGTGGGGCTGAGGAAGGAGCCAAGGGTTGAACTTTACTCTCTAGCTCTCTTATTTCACTTACTACACAACTATTTGTTTCACTTTCAGTGTGAACAAACGAGTGCAACCTTTTGGGCGACTGCCCATTATTGTGAAGCCCCATTATTCCAAAAACAAAAGCCCACTGCTCCGAATGCCTGTTGTTTCAAAAATACCCACCCTCCCTGGAGTTTTTTGCCCTAAATATCTTGGTGTATTTTGCCATGCAAATGCCAGGTGACCTTCGTTGTCATGGTAACAAGAATCAGTGAAACAGTTGCAGTTCAGTCAGGTTTAGGCATCAAAACCTCCCGGTTAGGTTTTGGAAAAGATCATGGTTTGGGTTGGTTACATCAGTTTAGATACATACTTGAGTTAAAGGTCCAATGTGTAACATTTAGGAGGATCTATTGGCAGAGATGGAATACAATGCACATAACCATGTTTTCGTTAGTGGAGTCCGCCATGTTGAACCGCCACAGTAGTTCAGAACGGACACTCTGGCTCTAGATTGGGACGGTTTGTTTCTTCACGCTTGGAAGGGGAGAGTGAAGCGAGGGAGTTGTAATCTGCAGCTACACCACTAGATGCCACTAAATCCTGCACACTGGACCTTTAAGTTACATGTAAGACGTAAGTTTAATAGGTTGTGTAAGGTTTACCAAGCTGGTATTTTCGGAGCAACGTGGACAAACGTTTGTTTTGGGGATAACAGGCTGGCAATTGTGTTAAAATCATCATACAGTTTTTATATTTTTTTATTTAAATGTTCTTGCTGTCCACATCCTGAGTTTAGTGTAATGGTTCTGTTAAGGTGGATCGTGTTCAGAGTTCAGTAACATACAACTCACTACTACCGTGGTAAAACTGTTAAGCTGTTGAAGCCTCACAATATATCATTTGTAACCAACACCTTGTAGCCACTGTAGACATAAATTGAAGTTAATAACCTCTGGAGAAGCTCTCTTCCCCCTCTCAGACTCTGCCTCTTAGACCAGGCATGTTTTTCAGCATAACGCACACACACACACACACACACACACACACACACACACACACACACACACACACACACACACACACACCGCCTGCTCCAGTTTCCTGGCCCATTTAAGCGCTGACGAGGGCATAGCTGTGGTCTGGTGGGACCTCGTGCCCCATGCCAACTGAGCTGTCCCTTCTCACCCGTCAACACACCCCACCCTTCCCTCACCCTTCTACACCCCTCTGCTCCTCCTCAGTCCACCTTTGGCTCTCCACTGTCTGTCTCTCCTGCCCATCCTCACTCCCACCCATCACAAAAATACATCATTTACAGATCCCTGTGCCCAGCTACTGTATGATATGATATCACATACTGTATGCCGCTGCATGTTGCTGCTGTCGGGTGAAATGGTACAAAATGGAAGAAGAAACGTGGATTTGAACTTGATTATGATACTTTCATTAAAACTTTACTTATACTTTCCATAAAAGAGCATGAAATACTTTAAGTAAAAACATAAAAAATCGCCAAAAGAAATTAGTTGCCACAACAGTAATATGCATAAAGATCTTCCCCCCTCTCTATCTCTCTATCCATCTCTCTCACCCTCCATCCCTCCCCTGTCCAGCCCAACCCTAGTTTCAGGGTCCCAGGCCTCTCCCATGTCTAAATCCTGGCTTTGTGTGGGAGATGGAGTGCAACAATGACCATGTTAGCTGACACAGTGCTGGCTGCCTGATCTGTGCTGACAGCATCTCCCCCCTACCACCCCATCTGCACGGCTCGCTGGCAAGAGACACATCCATCGCTCATCTGTAGGGCTGTAGGGGCTGGATGGTGCTTTAATGGGTCCATGGCGAGGTTACGGGTTGGGTGGCAGAGGCAGTTGACTGTGGCTTATAAACCCCCAGGGTCTGGCTTGAGGCTTAAAGGATCTGCACACATATGCAGTATTTTGGTTCATTATGGAAGTCAGATGATGTGGGTCTATATGTTTTAAGCTCTTACAGTACTAAACTGAAATTGAACAAAACAGGTAAAACAATTCTTTAAAGAAAGAAAATGTGATTAAAAAAAATCAATATCAGACCTAATAAATAATCTCCACACACAGCTCAAATATAGTATATTGTGCGACAGGGTCCATTTCATAACAAAGCAGAGCTGCAAAAAACAGCTTTTATATTATGATAATCAGACCTATTCCCAGGCTGTAGTTTGGTGGAGTCAGGAATTATGGGAGGACAACAAACTTCATGGACTAATTAGAATAACAGAGCTGTAAGTTGTCCAGCTTTAACATGTAAAACAAAACTAAGAGGAGGGAGGGAAATCTCAATCCAGTGCAGTTTGTAGTGTGGGGGCACACCCCCGGGTACTATTAGTGATTCAATTTAAACTGAAATGTATCAGAGAAAGCCTGTTAATCTGCACTATTTAGCTTTATTTTAGTTTAGTTTAGATTAGTTGTCAGGGACCTTTGACATCTATACTATTTTTAACACTTTGTGTCCTCATGCAATTAGTTACTTGGCTCCACCTAACTCCATCCTGAAGGTTGCCACATGCTGGGGCAAGAAGCAGGCTGGACAGGAAATAGTGCAGTCTGGAGTGTAAGCACAAACTATGGGATTCATGCTAACATGGCTTGCAGGCTAACAAGTGATAAATCTGTCCTTATTGTCTATTAATGTGCTCACTGCAGCCAAGAAGCATCCCTCCTTCTCTGCTGCTTGTATTACTTATCCATGCATTTACATAGACCATAAACAACCAATATTTCCTGAATGAGAGTGCAGGATGACTGGAACCAGCATCAGTGTGCAGTGTGCACTAAATAATGCTGTGTATTAATCATTTTGTTCCAAAGATTGGCTGCCAGTGCCATTAACATCTTCTTTCTTCTTTCTTTAAGATTTAATTACTGACAGTCTTCATTAATATGTAATATTATTTTTAATGTAATTTTCCCACTTAGTAATTACTTTGGTTGTGGAATCTGCAGGCATGCTTGATACTTGATACAGTGTTTGGAATTGACTTTACAGTGTCAGTTACACAATTACTTCCACTGGAGTGAACGCCTCTTCACTTCATTTCACCTCAGTGAGCGTGAAGTTGTGTCAGTCTTACTTTGTTCGCATTAGTGCCACCGTGAATATTTCCTCTGGGTGGCAGCTGCTGAATATGTGCCTGGATACAGTGGCCTATGTATGGGTTTAACCGTGGATCAGGCCCTCATGTTATCCGGCATCCACCATGCTGAGGTGTCCTTGAGTAAGACACTGAACCCTACTCAGCTCACTGTGTGACTTCTGACCTCATTTTAGAGGAAGAGGATTTAGCTACAGGGATCAACAAAGTGTCATATAACTAGGCCCTGAGCCTGCAAAGTGTCACTGAAAGAGACACAAAGAGATGCAGTATGACCACAAAGAGAAACTACAAATCACCTATGTAATTTGTAGTTTCTCTTTCTGTCTTGGTGTCTGTAATGTAACATGTAAAATGGTTTTTACACGTTACATTTCGTTGTCATATTTACCTCAGCTTTGCAGCCAGATGTTTTACTACAGATCATCTGTAAATACCGAGAGGGAAACAATCAGAGACATACACACATACACAGACATACAGACAGATACACAGTGACATGCTGAACTGCAGACAGGAATACACAGAGACAAGCAGACAAATACACACACACACACACACACACACATCATTCAGCTCACAACAGCAGCTGCTCCCCTGAAAGGAAACGTCACACTTTCTCTAAAATGAGATCCAAGGCCTGCTGTTCCTATTTTCAGCCATTTGGGATAAAAATAACTTCCCAACAACAGGGAAAGTTCATCCAGGCATTTAGAGACTGTCGGGATTTTATTAGAGTCTGTTTTCTGGTTTATTTTGGATTCTGTGTTTGAAGTTACATCCTTCAGCTAGGATACAGACATCTAATCCACCAACAGACAACTTCCTGGAAAGAAAACCCATGTGACATAACATGCACAAGCTTTATTCAAGGATCCTTTATCACCACGAGCAGAGGGCATCACATTTTTGGAAACTGTCCCACTGGTCGCCTTGCATATTAAGTGATCAGGACTTAATGGCAGATCAATCACTCCGGCGTTTCATGCAAACTCAGCAGTATATGATGAGATAGTAGATGAGGAGAAGCATTATCCAAAGTAGAAAGACTGACCTTTGAGCTTTTATTTTATAGCCAGTAGTCAACGTTTTAAAAACTGGATATTGCTGATGTAGCCAGGTCTATATACAGCTTTCACTTTATCACTTTACATTCCAGCTGGAAACAGGGTAAAGGAGTCTGTAGTTATTTCCCTGATAATTGTGGTGATCTCCTGCAAAAGAGGAAGAAGGCCTCAGATCATTTAAAATCAATGTGCCAATCAATGACAGGTCTCCTTTTGACACACATAATGATGGATTTTATAAAACTGTGACAAGTTTTCTGCTTTCTGCGTGGAGACATGCTGCTGGCATCTGAGAGACAGAGAGAGGGAGACAGTCAGTAGTCTCACTGCTCAGACAGTCAGTCTACTATGTTACAAACTTTGTTATCTTCTTCTCCTCCCTCCTTTATCGCAGCCCCGCCTGTTTCTGCCCTAATATGGGGGCATCTCTCTGCCCTCTGACCAATCAGGCAGCTGGATGCGTCTGTCCTAGAGATGCCATGGGCCTGGTCCAGGCCTGAGGCTTCAGTGAGGGGAGCAACAGGCTGGCTGGTGACAAGGGGCAAAGACCTTAGACAAAGAGAGGGGGAAAAGATTCAAAATACCAACAACAACAACGTGGACCAGTGAAGGAGAGCAGCTGAGGACAGACAGGAAGTGAACGTGAGATAAAGGGAGTCGTAGGAAGATTAAGAAAAGAGAGAGAGGCTGAGATTTAAGCTGTGCTGCTGCAGGTGGAGGTCTGTCACCTTTCAACCGCTGGAAGAGGCACGCTGAGGCTGAGAATTAAGGTAGGCTGGATGTGGTTTAATAAAGTCTCTGTGCTGGTGACACAGAGCAGTCTGCTGATACCTGAAGGCTCTCTGTGTGTCGCTCTGTGCAGAGAGGAATGCAGGTGTTAAAAGTCATGGTTAAAGGGGACTGATAACTCACTTTCTGGAGTAGCAGCAGTATTAAAACATCTTCAGCGGCCGTGCCTTTGTTGCTCTGTGTCTGCAACCTGTGTCTGTATAATTTAGTTTTAAATCAGCCAGAGAACTTGTTTTATTTTCTCAAATATTGCTTCAACATTTGGCAGCTCAGGAGCTGCTGAGAGCTTTGCTGAGAGCTATGCAGAACAGTTTATGTATCAGCCTGCAGACTCCACATTGCTGACTTCGGAGAGCATAACAATAGAGTGCTGTTTAAATGCAAAGACAGTTTTAGCAAGACAGCTGCCGCTTGTGTTTATTCCAACATGCCAGTTGCTGGTTATAAACACTTGAGTATTCACTGAGGTTTACGGTAACTATTTGCAGCGTGGCATGTCACTATGAGTCCAAGTTTAAGAGAGTGTTTTGTAATGAGACCTGGGTCAAATAACACTTGAAAATTATTCGTAGCATTTATTTAAACCTTAAGGAGTGCCAGAAGGGTGGGGCCTCCACCACCGGACAACACCTCAAGAAACATTTAGAGAAAAGCACCGAAACTCTAGTTTATCGTAATAACAGCACACCCCAGGCAAAAATAAGTTTTAAATGGCTTCGTGCTGCAGAGCAGAGCTGACAGAGCTGCTGGTGGCAGAACGCGGCCATTTCAAATAGCCCCTGTCTTAATGTTACACACCAACGACAGCTGCAGTGTGATGGTCATAGGATCTGTTTGCCCCTCAATTCCAGTTCCAGCGCAGAGCTTACATACCAGCCTGGTATGTATGTTGGCCCAAAGTGGGTTCAGAGGCTGCTGTAACCAAAACACACCCGCTCTGTGGCACTGGGTTACATAATGCAAGCACTGGGCAACAGATATTAGTGCTAATATATCAAACTTTCTTGATAATACCAAACTCATCTAAAAGGCAGATTCTGCTTTCCAGGAACTTTTAGCTCATTGCTGGTTATGTGTTTTTTTTTTGCCTGTGTTGTCAACATATATTCCCATTTAGCTCCTTGAAACACATCTCCACTAGTTCAGGTTTTACTCTTTTCTGCTGTTGATGGAGTCCAACTGAATCCAAGAGACGACGTGTAGAGGCTTCTTATATTTCTGTGAAAGCACTGAGCCTAAATTCAATATGAAGTTCAATCTTTTGCAATGTCAGCTAAGTGGTACAAAAAATTCCAATGAACGTGACATCCCTAACACAGTCAGCTGTGAGCTACACGGTCCGTTGACAATTTGACAAAATGGCAGAGCCGCCACTGTATTAATTCAGTCTGTTGCTGTCAGATACACTAATCATGTCTTCTAATGAACTGTAAAATCAAAGTTTCTCATCTCTCGCCTGCTGCTGCCTTAAGGTCTTTTGTTATTGTTATAATAATTTTCTCCCTGAATGAATCCTTTTCACAAGTTAATTGTATGTACAGAAGCTTGGCAGCAGATTTTATTATTTCCTTTTTGGAACTTTTTGGAGGCTTTTCCATCTTCGTTTACTTTGAGCCCATTAGTGCATGCTTTAATATGTTTGTCCATATGGTTGTTAACATTGTTGATGTCTTTGTATCATCCAGTAGTAATGGCAGCTGCCAAACCCCTCTTTACTCCAGCTGGAATGGAGGCCAGTAACTGAACTCTGCACTAATTCTGTGGGTACAAACTGTCAGTGGGATCACAGGAACGATTCTGATGCTACAAATAAAATCTGAGGTGTCAAACTCTTGCGGCATTTTGTTATTGTGGATGCTCTAAGACATCTCTGTTATTTTGAGGTAACTCGTTGCTCTGGAAGATGTGCAGCAGCAGGTTTAATTTTAGTGTGTATCCATGATCTGGGAGTAAACGAAAAAAATAAAAATAAAGTGATGGATGATGATAGCAGTTTCCTGGCGACATGGTGGTTGCGGTTGTGGGTGGGGTAAACTTTAGACCAGGAAGTAGGGTCAAGAGTTGATTGGCGGTTTAGGAGGGAGTCCTCATGAGGAAACACTGCTTGACGTACGTACAAGAGTGAACTTCCCTCAGTGTACACAGAGAGCCGAGAGGATTTTTCAGGAAGGAAGACTCGTGTAAACAAATGACTTTAGAGCACATGTCATTTCATATTTGAGACACTATTGAAATATATTTATTCCCAAAACTGAGAAGCACAGTTTATAATGTATTTTCTACCCTGAAATGACCAGAACCCTGTGTGTGTCTCACCATGTGATAAGTATATCTGTCAAAAAATCTCTGTTTCCTGTTTACATGGAGGCATTTCCTGTCCAGAAGTTTGGGTGTGTCTTGTTTTGTCCATCTGATGTCTCAAACAGCCAGGAGACACCCTGGGATCTATCTCGTTGATCTTGAATGGGTTGGACATTATGCTGTTTGGTGGATGCTTTTATCTCACAGGCTCACAGCAGCAACACTTCCTCAATGTTCGGCTCGGATGGCCACAGTGGGAGTCAAAGCTCTGGTAGTGTCAGTGCCATGCTGTAGCCACTGAGCTCCACAGGCTTTCTCTTCCTTCTCCAGCTAAAGTGGGGCGGCACACTTTGTCTAATTATGAAAGTGTGCTCACATTCACCTACCAAACATTTCCTTCAAGTTCCACACTGCATGACGAAGAGGTGGTGTTGTAGTAGTTGTAGCAGGTAAAACGTTTTGCTTTCACGTTGTTGCTCTCTTTACTGTAGACAGAAACAGGTAGTCAATGTTTTAATAGTAAATGTCCAGACACTAACAAGTACATAGTAATTCACTGAAGCTTGTCAGGCTTGTCTGTATCTTTGGATTCAAACACAATATCACAACAAAAACTGATAAATCCTCTGTTTCCTTTGGGTTTTCTGGCAGTAGCAGCAGCACTGACCATCACTAATGATGGAACTGTGATTACTGTGCTAACAGCAGCTAGATCAGAAGCATGGTATCATGTTGTTGTTGGATCCTGTGAATGAACGACGACTATTCTTATCGTCACTGCGAGGCGGGAAATCTGTGTGGTTCCCTCACTGTTTTCACAAATCCCTTAAAGACCTACATCCTCTCAGAGTACTTACCGACCTGATCTGCAATGAAAAAATATTGCCATTTGTTATGTACTCATGTGTTACTTCATGCACCTGCAGCCTCGGGTCTGTTGAACGTGGAACTGAAGCACGAATGTTTATTCTTGATATACTGTGGCTTGGTTTGTCCCTTACTTGTACGTAACTAGTCTTATTTCTTCCTGAACATTACTCAGATCTACAGCAGACTCCGATTTGACCACCATGACGCCTATATTACTGTATAATAAAACAATTAAATGTCAGTTATGTCAGCTGCTATAATGACTGACAGCAGTTCATAGCCACAACAGGGGTACTCCATGGATTTAGCACTGCACTTCCATAAAGTTGTTGGATGCACAAGAGACAGATTGAAAACAATGGGCTACATTTCCCATAATGCAGCATATTTTCATCATCTTTCTTTCTCCATAAAAACCTTTAAAATACATTATATAACTGGTTGCGAAGGCTCAGTTTCACCAGTGTCCTTCCAAAAACAATGTCATTGTTAGTTTGGATAATACCCAGACCTCACTGTAAACAGTTCAATGTGTATAATACTGCAGTTACTAATAAAAAGTCTCTCATATAAACTGTTGACAGATGGGAAATTCTTTTCACTTTCATTGTTCATCGTTGGTGGAGTCAGAAACCCCCCGAACTTCTCTGCAAATAACAACATAACTATCTGAATGACTGCAGATAGTGGTTAAGTAGGAAAATGGGTGAAGTGATCCTTTAACTGTAATCTATCTTTGATGCCGTCCATTCATGCCGACTGTACGCTGCCAACATGTGTTTGGCGCTGGCGTCAACCCTCTCGTCTCAGAGGCTCAGTCTTCTGCAGAGGTTGCCATAGAGATGCTGTGACATAATCAGGATTGGACAGTGTTTCATTCGTCTCCGGGAAAAATGAAAGAAAATCAATTAAATGATCTCCCGCTTGTGCTCTATTTACACAAACACACTGAAAACTGCTCCCTCTTGTCTTTCAGTAATGTTTTTCATTCCGGTTTCTTTTGCAGTTTCTACATTGCTACAACTACGAATTACAGCAACCACATTTTTTCATTGTTTCTTTTCAGGTTCTTTTCTGTCACATTTCGCCTTTTTGCTTTTTCCTCTGCTGTCCCCACCCTGACTCATACACAAATTCTTACATCATTATATCTGTCCAATCATCTCTGTGTCCATGTTCCTGGATGCTGCTCTTTAAAGATTATCACAATGGTGTCATTCTGTTTTCAGACAGACAATAAATACTGTCATATATTAAATACTGTCTAATTGATCTTTCCTAATTGATATCAGTCTCCATGTGTTTGGGACTCTGGATTCTCATCAGAATGCATGGACATACTGTATGTTGGCATATGAATTTGAAGCAATACTTTCCAAATGTTCTGTAAAGATTGTGCTCTGGCTACTACATTCGAGACAAAAATAAATGTAGAGATAAATTAATAGACGTAGAGTTCTGGTAAAGTGTGGTAAAATATGGTTTCATTCATGGATGTGTGGCCCATGTTTGGAAATCTTCTCTCTCAGAAGGAACTAGTGATGATGATTTCTACATTTCACTGTGTTTGTATAGTATTTAGAGTCAGTATTTTGTTTGGAATAGAAACAGTTTCCCTTCTCTGGTCTTGTGATTGTCCTAAAATTAGATCCAATAAGGTTTGTGTTACGTAGTCAGATTGTTGTGAAATGGTGTTGCGGTATTTCCTCTGTGTGTTTCTTCTAATGTAAGTACGTGAGGAGAAAACCTATTTTTGTCAATATCTGGCCTGACTGATAATACCTCAGTCCACAAATAAATCACAAACTCA